GCTGCGCCACAGGGCGGCGCCCTGCGCTAGCGAAGCCGGCTGCTTCCCTCCCCGGGTTAGCCCTCGCCGCCCCGGGCGCGAGCCGGGCGCGCGCCGGTACCGCGTGGGCGGCGGGTTACCTTGCTCCGGGCGCCTGGCACGCTGAGCGCCAGCTCGTGCAGCAGCTCCCGGGGTGGCTCCTTGAGGTACCACCACTGAATCTCCAGCGAATACGAGGTGGCTCCGCTGGCCCGGAATGCGCAGGGCATTTCGATGTCGTCTCCCTCCCGTACTGTCACATCTTTGGGGACTTCTGTGAATGTAGCTGGGGGTGGGGAGAGAGAGAGAGGCGTGACCAGCTGTAGGGCGGGGGCCTGGAGCAACCCAAAGCGAGGCGGTCGGTCTCTGGCTCGCTGGCCTTGTGCCCCCCACCCCGCAGCTGCTCCGTGGCACACGGCCGGAGAGGCTAGCAAAGTTCGGGGAAGAGGCTGCAGGGCCGTGGCAGGGACTGGTCACCGGCTGCCTGCTGCTTCCCTCCGGATGGGGCGGGGCGGCAGGGGCGGCTCGTGCTTTTCCCCCGCGCCTGTCCGCACCGCCAGAGCCTGACTGGGGCGCGCCAACTCCCGCACCCCGCAGGCCTCCTTTCCGCAGCCGGGGACCCGGCGGGACTAGGAACGACTCAGGCGCGGCGCTGCTGCTGCGGCGACCCTTCGCTGCTCGCCTCCCCCTACCCCTCCGGGCCCGGGCTGCACAGCGGGATTGCTGGAGACCGCGAAGCTTCCCCGTTCGTTCTCTTTCTCCTTATTCTCCGTGGCGGCCCCAGCAAAGACCCCCCCGAGCCCACCGCGGCAGCAAAGTTCCCGCGCTCACCGTCGGCCACGAAGAGCAGCAGGGCATTCAGCAGCAGAGGCGGCAGGTATCCGAGGGCACCGAGCCGGTTCCGCTGTTCCATCTCCCGCGGGGGACGCGGTGGCGGCGGGGGCCCGGGAGCGTAGAGGCGGCGGCCGCGTGGGCTCGGATCGGCTCCGGCTCGGGCTAGGACGCCTCCGAGCCTGCCATGGCCCCGCGCGGCGCCCCCTCCCCTGGCCGCCGGCGGCCGCCAATCAGCCCCGCTCCCTCGCCGGCTTGCCCGGCGCGGCTCCGGCGGGGGGCGCTGCGCGGGGTGTGCGGGAGACGCGGTCCCACCGGGAGGCTGCTGGTGATCGGTCAGTGCCTCTCTCTGTCCGGTCGTCCACAGGACGGTGGGGATCCGCGGTTCAGTCTCTGCCCCGCGGGCCGGGCAGGGGCTGGGCCGCGCCGGGACCCATCCCTGGCCGAGGGAGTGCGCGCCACGGAACCGCGAGCTTCTGCCTCCCTGTCTCCTTCTGGTTCTGCTCCCGACTGCCACCTCCTTCGGCTCCCGCCGCCGCCCCCGCCGGTTTCTCCGCGGCTCTTTCCGCAGGGCGAGTGGGCGCTCAGCCGCGGCGCGCAGACCTGGCGTCCGACCCAGCGCAGCGCGGGGAGAGCGGGTCCGGCGTGGCAGACCCGGAGCCGGAGAGAGGCGGGGAGAGGGGGAGGGGAGGGGGAGGGGAGGGGAAGGGAGGGGGCGGTCAGTGGCTAGGCGCCAAGCCTCCTCCGCCGCTGCATCGCCCCCACCCTCCCCTCTCCTGCCACAGCCCGCCCCGCCCCCACCCCAGAGCGTGCACCCTCTCTCCTCGGGGGTCGCTCGGAGGGACCACCGTCTTTCTGGTTGAAGTACAGCCCCACCCCGCACCCGCTTGGGTTGGGAGTCCTCCCACCTAAACTCTCCCTGGCTTCTTCCCAGTCTCCACCGCCCGAGACGGCCGCTCATCCCTGCCCCCCGTGTGTCCCGCGGTTCTCTCCGCAGCTCCCAGCCCTCAACTCCTTACCCCAGTTTGGGCAACCAGCTGCCCCGCTGTTTGGCCCAGGCCTGGGCCATGGCGGGTGGGTGGGCACCCGGGGCCGCGAGAAGGGCGGAACGCTGTGCCCAGCCTGAGACTAGGCTGGGGGGCGGCGGCAGCGCCGGGAGTCTGCAGTGCGCGAGGGAGAAGTGAGCGCACAGCGCCCAGCGAGCAGGTGCCTGTGGCGCGGAGAGCGCACCCGCGAGCTAGCCGGCAGTGGCCGTGAGTGACGGCAGGGGCGGCGGGGGTGGGGTGGGGAGAGCCGGGCACGACTCAGGGCCTGGGAGGTTTCCGGGCGGGGGCGGGGTTCCTGCCCCTGGATCGCGGTTGCCTGCGTCTCCACCCGCTCTTCGCCGGTCGTGGCCCCTTCTTTACCCGGTGCAAAGCGAGATACCGAGGCGCCAGGAGACCGGAACCCATCCCCCGCCTGCTCTGGCGCACCCGGCATCCCGGTACCTCCCCCAGCCTTCACCCGGAGCCTGCCCCCTCCGCAGCCATCTGAGGGAGCGTGGTCTGGTCCCCGAAGGGAAACGCGGGGTGGACATGTGGTTCGGACGCAGCGCGTAGTCATAGTCATAGAGGCGAGTCCTAAGGCTTGCCTCGGGTCTCTCCTCTCTCCTTCCCCCGGGAGTCCCCAGCTAGTGCATTTCGGCACTTCTGCCCCTACCCCGGCCCCTATGCCTTAGCTCTGACTTCAGGTTGGGGTGGGGCAGTCCGGTGGATTCACGTGCCTGATTTCCCGGCTACCAGCCTCCCGGAGGCACCGCCAGAGGATTCCCCGGGAGCCAAGGAGAAGGAAACCCAGAGGGAAAACACTTTCCAGCAGCCACACTGGTGCAGGCGGCCAGCACAGCAGAGCTCAGAGGGGAGGAGCTGCTGGTCCCCTCCAAGGCTGTCCTCGCTAGCGGGTGCCCCGGGGCCAGCCCTTCATGCCTCCAGTGCCTGCCTTTCAGTTTCCTGTCTATGGCCCAGGAGTCACTCCCACCCGCTGGCTCACGGTGGCTCATCTATCAAGCCCTTGTTTTCTAAGGTCTTCTGCTGGGGGCAGAGGGAAAAAGGGGGTCCTGTAGGACTTCCCTCCTTTCCCTCAAGTTCCTCTCTAGGGGCTCCACAGAGTCAGTTGCCAGCTCCTTCTGTCATGGCAGGAGCTTTTCCTAGGAAATCCCATGTGCCCTTAGAAACCACTTTGGACCCCCAAATGTAAGACCCTGCCAGGCCCCACTGCTGTCCTCAGCTTCTGAAGGGAGAGGGCAGACTTGCACCGCGCTATGCAGATTCAGGACCATGGTGGGGTTCCAGGAAAGCAGGCTCACTTGGGGACTGATTCCAAGCAGGGTTCTGAAGAAGAGCTAGCCCACTGGCAGTGGCCCACCTGGAGAGGCAGCAGTCTCCTTTCCTGATGCCAGATCCAAGCAGAGGCTAATGCTAGAGATCAGCGATGCCCATGGGAGAATCCCTGTAGCTAGAGGGAATTATCTGGAAGTAATTTATCCCTGTACCACCATGGGGGGTTGGGTGTTTCTTGCCCACTGCATGAGTTGGTATTGCTCTAAGAGCGACAGATACACGTTTTCACATGCTTTCCATGTACTACTAGACACTTTCCAGGCATCAGTTCTCAACATGACAAAGAGATCCTTCTCACAGAGAAATCAGATCTCTCTTCCACTGCTGAAACGCCGCAGTGGCTCCCATTTCACTTGGCATAAACACCAGTGGCCTTGCAGTGGCTACCAAGGTCAAACCATCTGCCTTTCTGCTTCCTGCTCACCCCCTTCCTTCATCTCCTCATCTTTTCTGTCTTCTCCATAGCTCACACTCCCCTAGCCACACTGTTCTCCTTCCTACAATGCGGCACGCTGGGCATGCTTCTACCCCAGGGCCCTTGCACCAGCCGTGCCATCTGGCTGACATGCTTCTTCAGATACCTGCTTGGCTAACTCCGTTGTGCTCTGGTTTTTGTCAAGCAGTCACCTTCTCCATGAAGCCCGCCTGGACCACCACGTTTTACACTGCAGTCTACACTGCCTCTCCTCCCACCACCCAGCACTCCCAGGCCCTCACTCTGCTTCCTTTATTTTTTCCATTTCACCAGCCATCTTCCAACACATGGGACCACATCCTTATTTATTGAGTTCCTTGTTGAAGGTCTCTAAGACTCTGCCAGCCTTGTTCACTGATGTATCTCTAGCATCTAGAACAGGGTCTGGCACAGAGTAGGAGCTCAGTAAATGCTTATGGAATGAATGAATGAGCTCATTTTATCTCAATTACAACTCCAGGGGTAGACATTGTGATTTCACCCCATTTTATGGATGAAGCTCAGAAGTTTACGGAACTTGCCCAAGGTCGCATAGTGAGTAAGTGGCTGAGTGACGCATCAACCCAAAGTCTGTCTTACTCTGGGGTCCTGGATAGTAACCAAAACACTAAGCTCTTCCCTGCTCCAGGTAAGACTGTGTCCTGATGCCTTGAGTTGGTGTGAAGAGCAAGGCCCTGCCCTTGGCTGATGGGAGCAAGGAGCAGCCTGAGCTACACTTGTAGTCTCTTTCCTATCTGTTCAGCTTCGTCTATTTGTTTTTTGCCTTGCCTTATACACTATGATGATAGCAGCTGACCCACCTTCGCTGTTTTTTTTTCCCCACAGGGTCTTGTTCTATTGTCCAGACTGGAGTGCAGTGGCACGATCTTAGCTCACTGAACCTCAACATCCTGAGCTCAAGCACCTCAGTCTCCAGAGTAATCATGCTGACACCAGGAGGATTAGCCCACCATGCCTTGCTAATTTGTGTATTTTTTTTGTGAAGATGGGATGTTGCTATGTTGCCCGGACTGGTCTTGAACCCCTCGGCTCAAGCGATCCTTCTGCCTCAGGCTTCCAAGTAGCTAGGACTACAGGCATGCACCACCACACTTGGCTAATTTTATGTTTAAACTTTTTGTAGAGGTGAGGTCTTGCTATGTTGCCCAGGTTGGTCTTGAACCCCTGGGCTCAAGCCATCTTCCTGTCTCAGCCTTCTAAGTAGCTAGGACTACAGGCATGCACCACCACACCCAGCTAATTTTTTATTTTTAATCTTTTTTGTAGAGATGGGGTCTTGCTGTGTGTATGCAGGCTGGTCTCAAACTCCTGGCCTCAAACAGTCCTCCTGCCTCTGCCTCCCAAAGCCCTAGGATTATAGGAGTGAGCCACCACACTGGCTTTCTCTGTGTGTTTAACTGCCAGCTGGGCCTGACCCGTAGTTAGAGCCTAGTAAATGTTCGGACTGGACACCCTGCTAGGAGCATTGGGGAAGGGGACTTTGCCTCCCCTTTGCTGTGGGTTTTCCATGGGCAGGGCAGGGACTTTTGTCTCTTCGACTTAGCCCTTTGGCTAGTTGGAGGATTAGTGAGCTAAGACCAGACTGCAGCTCCTGCCATTCAGAAGGCACTGGGTTTCTTTCCTGCCAGTCTCTGCCAAGCCTGGCTTCCCGCTCCTGGCAGGTGAGCCAGTTCCTTCTTACTATGTCCTGGTGGGATGTGGTCTGTCAGCTGGAGACTCTAGAGAAGGTGGCTGGGATGGAGCATGCGGGTCACTTCTCCCAAAGGGACACTAAGCTCTGGAGACACAGCCATTCAGCTCTACCTACTGTGTTATCTCTCGGGCTCCTAAAAAAGATGATCTGTTTGCAGTGAATCGTGGTTATGTGAAGCGACGGACTTGAGAGCATTTCATGATCATTTTGTTTCTAGTCCTGATTAGTCATCAATGGGAACTAACACGGTTTTCCCCTCCCTCCACCCACAGCTATAAAATGCCTGTGGAGTCGCCGTGCACAGGGACCTGGAGGCGGATCCTCTTGTAACGTGGTTGATGGGGCCACGGGTTGGCTGCCCTGCCCAGTTGGCTGTGGCCTGGGGGGGGGGCTTGCTTCTGCCAGGGCCTGGCGACTGTGTGCCCAGCCTCGGAGCTCTCACTCATTACCTATTACGAGCTGTTATTATAGGGCTGCGAGCTGGGGTGCTTGTCAATACCATTTTGTGGATGGATTCACTGGACTCTCAGAGGCACTTTAAAAAACGCTATTTAAAAAGACTGCCCAGCCTCTTGTGAAAGCACCCTTAAATTACAGCCCTAAGTGAGCGTTTTTTCCTGGAACTCACTTTCAACACTTATTTATTTTAATGCTCAGGTCCTCTTGGAGTTGGGGTTTCAGGATTCTTGTCTCGACTGACCTTTCCCGTCCTCCCCTGTGCCATGTACGGCAACATTGATTTTGGGTAATGTATTTTGATTTTAAGATGCAGCCCATCCATAAACTTTTCTATCAATAATCCCAGCACACTCTGTGTACCCGACAGCTTATAGGAAAATAGCAGATTTATGGGGGCTTTTATTTTTGGCCATTTTAGTCATTCACACGCCACCAGTGTCAGGGATAAAGCCTGATGTCTGGTCCCAGGAAGACGCCTATCCAAGGGTACACATCAGGTCATCGAGGGGTGGAGGCCTGGCCCTGCTTGCACCCTGACAGGGACTGCTGGAGAGGGAAGCAGTGATTGATGCCCCTAAGACGGAAGGAGGGGCAAGTGAAATGGCTCACATTTTGGGTTCCCGTGGCCCTTACCTGCCCCACGTCCTCACCAACTTGGAGTGCTGAATTCCAGGAGGAGGGTAGCAGGTGCCAGCCCCTGCGTTGCATGGAGACAAGAGAGGGCCCCCTGCTGTCACCAGGGCCATCAGGGAGGCAGCCTGCCCTTTCCCATGTGCGCTTGCTCTCGGCAAAGCAAGCCTGCTCGTGGTCAGCCAGGGGTTGGCCAGCAGCAGCAACAGGACACACAGCTGCCAGGCCCCAGGGTCTGGCCTGACATCACTGCGTCAGTGCCATCACACTGCATCTTCAGAGCCTTGGGCTGTTTGCTTCCTTGTCACAGGCAGGATCAGTTGGGTTTGGGGATGGTCTAGAGAAGGGAAACACAACGGGAGAAACACCAGGCAGGGCCTGTTTCACCCCAGACATTTTTCTGGCCAATGTGTCCTGAAGGCTGATCATTTATCTAGCGCTTGTCCCACGATATGCCGGTGCAGGGGATGCTGCCATAAGCAAGACAGACGGGCTTCCTGCCTGCAGGGAATTTGCATTTGTAGCCGGGAGCGGGTGCAGACAGACCCCCAGAGAAGAAACAAAAACTAAGTCTGATATTTTACCCAGTGCTGGGTAATGTGCGGCGCACACCCGCAGGTAGCAGGAATTTTGGTGGTGGGGGAAGGTCTGGGGACGTCAGCCAAGCAGACGTGGGGAAGGAAGGATGCTTCTGGCAGAGGACACACGAGCGCCAAGCCCGCGAGAGGGGACTTGGGGGTAGAGCATGGCATGTAAGTGAGGGGGGCTCGGTGGGATAGAAGGAAGGCAGGGCAAGGGGCGCTTGGGCTTTGCAGCCACATCAAAGATTCCTGTGCCCAGAAGAGTGGGGCTCAGAGCTAAACAAGACGTGGCCCTGGCTATGAGGCTCAGAGCCTCATGGGGAATCAAGCTAAGCACATAGTAATCCCAGCCCTGGCAGGGGTCCCCCCTGAAGAGGTGAGCGGTGAGTCCTGCCTGGGGAGGCTTCCTGAGCTCCGCCTAAGTGCAGAGTAGAATCTGGCCGAGATAGGTGGGATGGGGTTGAGGTGCATCGGCATCCCAGACAAGTAGCTGCCATGCAAGGGGGTGGAGGCAGGAGATTTGGGAACTTCGCTGAGACAAAGAGAAAACTCCAAGATAACAGGATCAGCAGCAGTGGTGTTGGGGGACAGGACAGGGTAAGGCTTTGGGCTTGGTGACAAGGAGGAGTTCTGACCCTGATGGCAGCGTAGAGGGGCGGTGGGAGATGGGAAACTGCCATCCCCTAGAGGGGCGGTGACTGGGAGCTGAGTGCAGAAGCCAGGTGATTGCCATGGACCCCTCCTTACTGGGTCCTGGCTCTGAGGAGAGACCATTCGACGTGTCCTCACCTCCCACCTTCCTCTGCTGGCCACCCCCTTTGCCTGCAGAGCTGGCCCCAGCAAACAGCAGTGCATCTGGCGCAGTGAAGTTGGGAAGGTTTCAGAGCGGGCTCCTGTGCCCAAGTCCTGGGGCTAGCCTGCCTCGCCCCACCCTTCCTGGTTCCTCTGCCCTCCCTGGGGTGCCAGCCTCTAGGTCCCATAGAGAAAGCCCAGACGCTGTCTTTGATGAGTGTTAACAAAGCAAGATCCTGCCTCATGGCCTGAGCCGTGTATAGCCAAATGGACAATTAAGTAAAAAGCAAAACAAAGCAAAGCAGAACGAAGCAGAGCGGGGTCCAGGGCTGTGGAGTCTGATGGACGTTGGCTCAGATCCTGGCCTTGCCTTGGCCTTTCAGAGCCTCGTTTTTCTCATCTGTAAAACGGGTGTACTGGCGTTGCTGCCTGCAGTGGGTGAATGGGAGGATTGGTTTTGAGAGCCGGTCATTCAGCACCTGGGGTGTGGCGCTAACAGCAACAGTCTGCATGTTGATGCACACGCCTTGCTAGCTTTGGTGTTGTGATGATGCAGCATGGGATATTTGAGGGCGTTGCCCAGCCACTCTTGAACCCAGGTGCTTGGCAGGAGTGGTGTGACTAAGGGGAGAGGAGTGGCCAGAACTTGGAGGTGACCGGTGGAGCTGAGCACCCCCAAGTTGATTTTAGTACAGCCTCTGTGTGTGTGTGTGTGTGTGATTTAATAATTTGCCAAGATAAATCTTATAGACCCATGGAGAGTTTATATTTTATTTTTAATATTCTCAATACACTTGGGGTTTTATTTCCCACTAGATCTATTAGTTTAATTTAGTAGAGGACAGACTGTATACTTAACCAAAAATTGCTTTGACATTATGGAGAATTAAGAGGCTGGGGCCAGACGGATATCAGCAGATCGATCTGTTGGAAATAAACTGTTATTTCCCCATGTGCTTCCTTCACCTTAATGGCAAGGCTGGTGATTAGAAATCATGGAGCCGGCGCGTCATGACCAAGGGTCAGCTGGAGGGTCAGGGCTCTGGCTCCCTTGAGCTCTCCAGACCCAAGGAGAGGGCTCCCCCTGGCAGGATACTGTTTAATGGTTCCAGTGGAGATGCTATGGGGGCCTGGGGCATCTGTGGCGGCCTCCCAGTGCCCAGTCCTGCTAGCTTTGGTCCCGTGTCTGACCAGCCTCCCGCAGGGTTGGCCTGATGTCGTCAGGGAAGCAGTGCGAGCTCAGGGCTGGGGGCACGGTGAAATGGAGGCAGGGAGGTCGAAATTCGACGGGGAGGTCGAAGCCTGGATGCAGACACTGCCACTGTCAGATCTGTGCTAAGTCTCTCTAGCACACCGAGCCTCGGCCCCTCTGCCCAGAGGGCACTGGGTTCCTTCCCTGCTCCCAGGGCTGCTGTGAGGTCCACCAGCTGATGCCCAGGAAGTAGCTTTGCAAATTGTCATGGGATGCAGTCAGGTCAACGTTCACGTTTCTGTGTCCCCTGAATTTCTGGATCCTGAGTGGCTTGGGAAATGCCAGTCACACTAAAGGGTGGCTTCCGATCCAGAGCCCCAAGGTTCTGGCATCCCTTCTCCATCTTCCTGGGCCACCACCTAGAGGCTTCTGACCAGAGCATCCCTGAGAATAGGGCCTGGGGCCAGCTGGTGACACTGTGGCCACAGGAGTTTCCTGGCCCTTGGTGGCTCGCCTCTGTGCCCTAGGGGTGGCTCTGAAGGGTGAGGGAAGCAGAAAGATCCGCCATCCCACCGACACCGTCCTGGGCTGAGTGGACCCTGAAGATCTAGGGCCCCACCTGGGGCTCCACGGTGGGGCACGTGATGTGGACTGTGTCCCACTTCACACCCCCCAGTTGCCGGCCTGGCTTGGGCCTGCACCTGCTCGCCTGCCTGTGCGCACAGCTCTCCTGGCCGACTCTGGCCAGCTGCAGTCTCTCCTCTTCCAGGAAGCCTTCCTCCTGCTTGCTTCCTCCTAACATGTTGGACTGCCCTTGTTTTTGTCCCTACACCACTAAGCACTGCCCTCGTGTCCGGCTTTAGGCTCTTATTTCAGGAAGGCCCCAGACCTGCTTTCATCTCAGGCCAGCTCCGGAAGTCTGAGGCTGCACCTGGGCTTAGCAGGAGAGTATACTGGGTTGCGATGTCTGCTGAGGGCTTGGGGCCTGGGGGAGGTGGCAGGATTTCTGGGTCTCCTTGAGTACTGGAGGTAGCTAACACCTTCTTGCACTGTCCCTCGAAGGCCAGCACAGGGCTGGCTCTATGTGCATGCAGGTCTGTGGCAGAGTTGATGGACTCTGGGAGGCCCTCTGTCCATGTGAGAGGCGGCATGCTCCGGGAGGGGGCTGGGCCCCGGCAGGGTCTCATTTCAGCCCACTCCCAGCTTCTGCCCAGGTGGGGTTACCTGGAAATAAAGATGCCTGCTCTGAGCCCTTCCAGGGCAGAAACTGTGCTCCGGTCATCCTCGTACCTGCCTAGTCACCTTGCCTGGCACATGGCAGGTGTCAGTAGGTGCTGGGCTTCGGGAAGCTGAGGCCATTTCACATCTCCTGGTGGGTCCTCCGGCCCAGGATGTTCTCTCAGAGGAGCCTTGGTCTGTTCTGGTCTCATCCTGGGTGGTGGCCTCTCTGCACTGTGGGACTGTGGTAGGCACAGTCATGGGGTTTGAGGACAGTCACAAGCTCCAGATTTGGCATCATCTTTAGCTTCAGAGGTCAGTTTATTCCCTCACTGCGGAGAGCACATGCGGCAAATGCACGGACTGGGTCCAGAGAGATAGGGTGGTCCTGCGGGAGCTGTGGCCGTCTAGGTCCCTTCTCCCTTGGTGCTGATGTGGGGCCTGGGCGGAGCTCCCTGGCGCTGCTGTGACCTTCATGCCTGACTTGTCCCCTTGGAGTCCCTCCTGCGGATAGACTGGCAGCTGCCAGCGCTGCGCGGTTTGTGAAATGTCAGTGGTTTAATATTAATTCTGGAGGTTTTATTGCCTTTCCCCCTGTTTTCCGATGGGATTTTGATCCAATCAAGGCCGATATAGAGTGACGGTAGATTTGTGTTCCTGTCCGAAGTTGACAAAAGGTCACCGTGTCTGGGGAGCTGGGACTGCCTGGCCTCATGTACAGGTGGCTGCTGTCTCCCCAGGCTCTGGAGACAGGCCACACTTCCCGAGAAACGCAGGCTCAGGTGGACACAGACGGCTCCCCCGGGACCTGCTGGCCGGGCCAGGGTACCTGCGGGATTAAACTCAGCAATCACCAGCCGCAGAAAGCCCTGG